AGCAGTGCTGCCTCACAGCGCCAGGGACCGAGTTCAGTCCTACCCTTGGGTGACTGTGTGGAGTTTGCACATTCTCCCCGTGCCTGTGTGGGTTTCTGCTGGGTGCTCCAGCATCCTCTCACAGTCCAAAGATGTGCATGTTAGCTGGATTGGCTGTGCTAAATTGCCCCATAGTTTTCAGGGATGTGCAGGTTATGTGCGTTAGCCATGGGGAATACAGGGATAGGGTAACGGGATAGGTCTGGGTGGGATGCCATTCGGAGGGTCCGTGTGGACCTGTTGGGCCAATTGGCCTGTTTCCACACTGTAGGGATTCTAAGGCTTGCTTCCACTGGAGTTTAGAAGAATCAAGGATGACTTCATTGAAGTATTGAAAGATATGAATTGTATTGACAAGATGGACATGGAAAAGATATTTTCTCTTATGGTGTGTGCAGACCAGGGGGAGCTATTTTAAAGTTAGTGATTGCTGTATTAGGACAGAGCTGAGGAGAAATTCTGTTCAGACTGTCGTGTGACTTTGAAACTGTCTGCCTCAGAAAGGGATGGAAGGGAATCATAGAATATTTTTAAGGCAGAGGCAGGTGGATTTATTTACCTAATAAGAATCTAAGGTTATCAGGGGTAAATGGGAATGTGGAATTCAAAATGCAAACAGATCACACATGATCTTGTTAAATGGCAGAGTGAGCTTAAGGGGCCAAATGGTCTACATCTGTATTAATTTCTTTGTTCACCTTTGCTTTGTCTGTTTTTCCAAGTCATATAAACAAAATGTACAACTCAAGAATTTGGCAAGGTTGAAAGGTATATGTAAATTCAAGGAGTGCAGCAAATACAGCCTAAGAGCTGAGGGAATGTATGGACATGTGGCAACTTGATATTGTTGCTATAAGGGACACTTGGCCTAAAGAGGGGTAAAAATGGCAGCTTAACATTCCTGGATATTGAGTTTTTAGGCAGGATAGAGAAGGGGATTAATAATAGATGTGGGTGTAGCATTATTCATTAAGGAATAGATTAAAGCTGTGAAGAAGCTAAGTAAATCACAAAATCAAGCCATATGGGTTAAAGTCAGAAAGAAAGGTGCCGCTGAACTGCTAGGGTCTACTATAGATCCCTAAATAATGGATGGGAGATAGAAGAGCAAATATGTTGGCAACTTTCGGTATGCAAAAACAATACAGCAATAATGGTTGAAAGACTGCCCAAATATTAATGGAGATAACAAACAGCATGAAAGGCACAGAGGAAACAAAATTTCTGAACAGCATTCAAGAGAACTTTTTAAGTCAGCAAACGTATCCAATAAGAGAGGTAGCACAATTCTAGATTTAGTCTTCGGATATGAGGCTAGACAAGTGGATGAAGTAGCAATGTGACTCCTTTATGGAAATAGTGACAATTGATATTTAGATTTAGCATCATTATGGAAAAGGGCAAAGATGGAATAGGAGCAAGAGTTCTAAAATCTGAATATCAATTGTACAAGTCCAGAAGTGATTTAGTGAAGATCGACTGGATGGAGCTACTTGAAGGAAAATCAGTAGGAAGCAATCAAAAGTGTGATTCTATAGGCACACATTGTAGGCATATCACCACAAAGTAAAATCCTGGCACTGCCAAGTCTAGCATCTTCTGGCTATCCAGAAGCATACAGGGCTAAAACAAAGCAGGTAAAGTATATAATGATCACAAACAAAAAATTGGATATTGTAAATAGCCTAGACGAATATAGAAAGTAAAGGAATGAAGTAAAAAAGGAAATCATTAGTAAAGCAGAAAAAAGGATTTGAAATAACGTTAACTGGTAAAATTAAGGGAAACATAAAAGATACTTGCCAGTATATTAAGAGCAGGAGGATAACTAAGGGAAGCATAGGACCTAACAGATTTGCATGAAAACTTGCTTGTGGATGTATAATATGTGGGCAGGTCTCTTAATAAATATCTTCTCTGTCTTCATAAAAAAGAGGGATAATACAGACAATCTAATTAAAAAGGAGTGTGAAACATTAGATACAATAAACAGGATGAGAGAAAGTAGGGAGGAATTTTCATCCTTGAACATGGATAAATCACCAGAGCAATGTGTATTGTGTTGTTAGCTGTCAAAGAAAGCAATGACGAAAATAAAAGCAACATATTAGAGAATGGAACGCCTGAGAACATTGTTTGAAAAAGGTGTCTACGTGGCACCGGTCAGGAGTGTGATGGAATACTCCTTGCTTGCCTGAATGAGTGCAACTCCAACATCACTCAAAAAGATTGACACCATCCAGGACAAAGCAGCTCACTCGATTAGCATCACATCCACTCCCTCCACCACCGACACTCAGTAGCAGCAATGTGCACTGCAGATATTCACCAAAGATGCTCAGACAACACCTTCCAAACCCATGACCACTTCCATCTAGAAGGACAAGGACACCATTACATGGGAACACCACCACCTGCAAGTTCCCCTGCAAGCCACTCACCATCCTGACTTGGAAATAATATTGGCTTTCCTTCACTGCCACAGCGTCAAAATCCTAGAATTCCTTCTCTAATGGCATTGTGGGTCAACCCACAGCAAGCAGACTGCAGCAGTTCAAGAAGGCAGTTCACAACCACCTTTTGAAGGGCAGCTAGGGACAGTCAATAAATGCTGGCCAACCAACGCTGCCCACATTCCACAAAAACAGCTGTGTGTATGTTCAGATGGTAGACCCACAGGTGTGATTTCTGTTAAGAACAAATGTAAGTTCTCTTTAGTAGAAGAATTCCTGTTTCAATCTCATAAGTGATTTTGAGGTTGCAAAATAACTAACGAACAAGTACACTCGTAAGGTTAACCAACTATCCAAACTGCACTTGTTTCACAACCTGGAATGCTTCAACATTGTCATGCTTTGCATTAAGTGGGTACATGTATAATTTCAAATCAGAAAAGATTTCAATCAAACCAAATTCATGGCGATTATTCTGCTGAGATGTCAGGTGATCTCATTATTAATCTTCGTATCTACTGATATAGGCAAGAAACTAGGCAATTCAGCACAGACGTCACCAGTTCCTTATCCATTATGAAGTTGTTTAATTTCCCCGCAGGGTGCTAACAAAGAAGAAACAAAAAACAGAAAAGTGAGGAGCACAAATAATCTGATGGTTAATTAAATAGAAGTTGAGGTGTGCAACATTTGAGTTAGCATGTTCATATGAAATTCATTTAGCCACTATTTTAATGCCCCATCTTAATAACAAGGTGAACATTGTACAGTCCTCAAGTTAGCATGTTTGTATGTCACTATTATTAGCTGATTAGTTTCACTCTATATGTTCATGTGTGTTTCTGGTCTCTGCTTTTTGACATGCTAAAACAAATTAACGTGCCTGCACAGATAGATGATTTAGAAGTATATAAATGAGCTTTGGGAAGAAGAGATAACGAAAACAGATGGTATGTTATCAAGTGTTTGGAAGAATGTGCAGATCTGTACATAATCTTTTGTCAGCTACTGCAATATCTCACTCTTGTGCTTTCACAAGACATTAGCTCATATTAAGGATAGCTTCCAAGGGTGTTGGAAGCTTTCAAGTGGTATTCTTCATAATTGAACCAAGCATGTGTGGGACCTAGGACAGTCCATTATGAGCCTAATTCTGTTCTCAACCAGCATCTAATATCATTATGAAAGGGAAGCAAAAATGTTGGCTGTTTTATCTTCAAAGGTCAAATGGCCCTGAGTATAATAATGCCAGCCATAACAACAACTCTGATTAATATAACATGCTTAATATAGTAAGCTGTCCTAAAAGTGGTCATAGGAGCACTCAGACAAAATTTGACCTAATTATTTATGACGATATTAACATAAATGATCAAAAGCAGGAGAAAGCAAAGGGGTGGTGGGTTTAATGAGGGAATTTCCAGAGTTTAAGATCTAGGCAGATGTTACATGATTTGGAAGGAATACAATAGATGAACAATATAGACTGTAACTGGAAGATGCAGAAATCTGAGAGACTGCAGTGTTAGAAGAGATTACAGTGAAGTTATGAAGTTACATTTTACAGATAGGATGATGTTTTAGTGACATGCATCAAGTAGTCAGAGTTGGTAGTAAGTATTTGAAGTCTTTGCAAATTGATATATTTTAAAAGGTAATGTTAATCTTGTACCTAGTGCATATGACATCAAATTAATTTTTAAACTCCCTGAACATGAGACAATGGATATACAAAAATTTGCCAGTTTTTAAACTTAGGTTTGTGACTTTCAGAATTACTTGGAATTATTTCCACCACTCCATTTGTTTCCATGATTCGTATTGATGCATGAAAGAGATGATCGTTTAGCAATAATTACTCAATGTATTATTAATTAATCAAATTGTAACCATTTCTTCAAAACTTTGCCTTAATTAATTAGTCACCGAGGTCCATCATGACATTTTCAGTTAATTTCAAAAGAGAGAAGCAAACGCTGTTTAGAGTAGAGATAGTAAGGTGTAGAGCTGGATGAACACAGCAGGCCAAGCAGCATCAGAGGAGCAGGAAGCCTTCCTGCTCCTCTGATGCTGTTTGGCCTGCTATGTTCTCCAACTCTACACCTTGTTATCTCAGATTCTCCAGCATCTGCAGTTCCTACTATAGCTGTTTAGAGTAGCACTGCTTGTGTATGACACAGTTAGTCAGATGAAAAGTGAGCACCTAAGAGTGATTTCCAAGGCTTTCACCTCATCTCTGATTTCAGATAATAATTAGAAAATTGCTCAAGCCCTACTGGCATTTGTTCATAAAAGCATTAGACAATTTTGATGTAATTGCATCCTTGTAATTATGGAGGGATATCAATAAGTCTGGTCAATTTGAATAACCAAAAGGCAGCTTTTGCCACCTTCCACTCAGTCACAACTGATTTTATTTTTCTATAACTTTAGGCCAGTTTATTTGCTTTTCCAGAAAACCTGCAGACTTTGACTTTCCTGCTTTGCTTTGATAATTCCTATTTCTAGGCTATGGAATTGGCCTTCTGCAGAACTCCCCACTGACGTCCAACATTTCTGAATTAATTAGCCAATACAAGTCTGATGGCTTTATGGATATGCTGCATGACAAATGGTATAAAGTTGTACCGTGTGGTAAAAGGAGTTTTGCTGTGACTGAGGTAAGAAGTCTTCTCATATGGAAGAAATTTGGTATTCACTAGGCATAGCCAATAGTTGTAACCACAGAGTGGTCATTGGTATGCTTGCTCTTGGCTGTTATACTTGAGAGTTAGATTGGACTGAAGAGGTCCAATCCACTCGAATTCAAAGTACATCGCAAGAAGTACAAACAGTCAACCAATGTTTCACGAGGGAGACATAGCAATATAATACATTCCACATTTCTGATGCTGGAAGTAGCAAAAGGAATTTTCTATTGCAGTTGCATTCCTCAATGCATAAAAAGATTAGGCAATAAACATCTGCTGTCTTATTTTCTGAAATCTCTTTTACTTGGTTTAATTTTAGTTTTCCAGATTGTGATACTTTTTTAAAGGGAACATTGTTCTATGAAATACAGGGACTGCCAAGACAATATTTGATTCTCTGAAAAGGAAGGAAGGGTATGTAGGGCTGCAGGGAAAAGGCAGAAAAGTGTGTCGAGATGAATTGCTCCATCAGAGAACAAGATCAGACACTAGCTCAGGCTGAAATGTCCTTCTTCTGTGCTGTAATCATTCTCTAATTCCGAGCAGCCGTGCAGGCGTCTGTCATTAGGATAGTGGCAGTATTTCTAATCAAAGAAAGAGAAAATGACGTGCACTTATAAAGCAGCTTTCATGAGTACAGTGCATTCTAAAACACGCCACAGCCAATTAAGTGTTTTTAATGTGTGGTTGCTGTTGTACTGTGGGAAACGTGATGGCCAATATGCATTCAGCAAACTTCCACAAACAGTAATGTGATAACAATCAAATAACCAGCATTTGTACTATGGTTGAGAGAGCATTAGCCAAGGCCCTGGGCATATAACTCCCCTATACTTCAAATTAGTCCTTTTTAAAAAAAGGCAGGAGCTGGGTTGAACATCTCATTCAAAAGAGGGCACTTCAATTGTTGGGACATTTTGTTAAAATGCAATTAATGCATTTTTGCATTGTCATGTTCAAATATTTAGACTGGAACCTGAATCCATAAGCACCTAACATGATCCACAAAACACGAAGGAGTCACAAACACAAGATACTGCATTTCACATTACTATAAATAGTTTCTTTATCAATTTCATAATGAAGTAAACCTGAAAACTGCAGATTTATGTAACCCACTAGATTCCCAACTGCAAGTCACATGCTTAGAATGGAAAATTACATGCTAATAATGCCTGGGATTAATTTGAGCTACTCCATAGAACTAATAGTACTAAGTGGAATATAGCCGTGAAAACCTGGGCTGAATTTCACATAAATACATTTCGGAGAGATTTCCTGGACTTTGCAATGAACATGGCCACTTAAATGTTCTGCCCTGAGGCTGTGTGCAGTTTAAGTTGATCTGAGCTGAGTGACGGAAAATCAGTAGTTCAACAAAGGATTGGCAATTCTATGCAGCGTGGTCACAATACACAGGAGAGAATTTTTACATAGCCCCTTGAATGTTCTCAGCAATGATGCTTTCTTTAAAGGGCTTCAGGAGGGTTTGTTGTAAGGGCTCTTGTGGTACATTTGTACATTCCGCATTAGAAAGCCTGGGTTCAAGTGTCACCAATTCCAGAAGTGTGTCATAACATACAGGTTGGCTAAAAATATCTACACCTGATTAAAACAAAGATGAAAAGGTTTCTAATGCTTCATGTCGAAACAGATTTGCATTAGCCATGAAAGTCGTTGACAGATTTATCCTTACAATAACAATGTTTGGTATTAGCCGATACAGATCAGAAAATAATACTCAGCCAAGCTGGATTACAAAATATTTAACTAGGCTATTCAGCTTCTCTCAGAAGTACAGCCTAATTTCCACTTCACAGTCGATGCTGGCACAGACCTTTTATACCATGCAAATGCTTATACAAGTCATGTCTCAAAATGAATCCTCAGGTCAGTAATACCATGCAGAGAGAATAAGTTTTGGAGGTTAGAACAGGTGAAGCAACTGTATGAGTTGTAGAGGCAAACAAATTTAGATTTTCAGTCACAGCTCTGCTCAGAAGATTGAGGGCTCAAGTCCCCCTTCAGGATCATTGACAATTTGTTACATTCAGGTCAGAAGGCGAAAATGATTCACTTCCTTTTAATGCTTTCTTGGTTGTTCACAACAAATACTTTTTAAGAAGCCAGCTATCACACTGCAATTAAAGAAATAGTTAACTAGATCAAAATGAAGGAGCCAGTTTTGGGAGTTTCCTTGAGTGAAGGAAAGAGGAGTTTTATTACTTAACTGGGAAAAATAACAAAAGCACATCAAACACACAAATGTACATAATAAGTTTGAAAAGGGTGAACTGCCTACAGACAAGGAGAAGAAAGATTGCACTGTTTAAAAGCCCTTGAGGTGTTGTTAAATTATCACATTTGTTTAATTGTTGACTGGTATCCTCAGTGTTGGAAAAGTTTGTACATATCCTTGAGTTCTTAATGAATGGCTGTTTCATCAAATAGCTTTTCCATTAGTCTCTGACTTCTGAGATAATTTGACATGAGGGGGAGGTCGGGTGGGGAGGGAGAGAGAGATTTCAGTGCTTCCTGTTATTACCAGTCCATGTTCTTTCTCCTGTTTTCTGCTCAACAGCGAGCATTGAAGTATAGTTCAGTATGTATTCCTGACTCCTTGCCAAGGATTGCCACCTTGCTGCGGTCGAGAAGCATAAGTGTTCTACTGATCCCAAAAGCAATGCCATCGAGAGTTCTTGACTCCTGGCAAGGCCACCTGTGATGGTAAGGTCAGAGAGGAGGAACCAGAGAAAGTGCAATCCAAAACGAGTCTTCACAACTGAGCAGCTCTCTTCAGGATCCACACTATTCAACCAACATGGGGAAAGAGTTAGAAAAAGGTACCCTAAAAATTGTCTGTTCTGTTCACCAATCTCGTTGGAAATCTGCATCCATTGAGTTCATCTACATGCAGTCTGAAACCGGAAGTGAAATTCAATCTGGGAACCTGGAATGTTTGAAGCCCTCATGGACAACGAGTGAAACAGTCATCTGGAATGAAAACTGTTGTTGTTGCCCACAGTCTCAGGTATTTCAACACAGTGTCTCCTGCAAGGCAGCAATATCAAAGAGCAGGCACAGGAAAGCTGAGGGAGGAACATGGTGGTTATACCTTCTCTAGGGAGGAAAACCCAAGTATCAACCCAGAACACATGGAATTGGATTTGCCATCAAGAACAAACCTGTCAGTCTTTCAACTCTTGGAGCTCTCTATTGATATCACCAACTGCCTCATGACTCACTGCCTAAACATGCAGGCAAAGGTGGTGAGTGCATATCCCCCAATCCTTGGTGCCATAGATGAGTCCACCCTGGATACCATTCTCACCAGCATCCTGAAGAAAGATAAAGTTATCATCCTTAGGGACGTCAACACCTGGGTTGGAAAGGATTCCCCACTCTGAAAAGGAACCAGCACAAAAGGAGGAGTTGGGAATTACAACTCTAACAGGAATCCCTTGCTCACCAAATGTATAAAACACTAGCAGGCGTCAATAACACAATGTTATGACAAAAAGACAAGTTGAAGACTTTTTGGAGGCATCCATGTTCAAAAGACTGGCACATGATGAACTACGTCATCATTAGATCCAGGCACCAGAAGATGCCCTCATTACCAAAACAATGACTGGTGCAGATGACTGCTGGATAGACCACCGGCTCATCTGCTGTTTGATATCTATCAAATGCCACCAGAAGCAGCTGCAGTTGAAGAAACATTTCAGAAAAACTCAACTTAGACAGCTATTGAACTTCCAACAATGTCTTCACCAAAATATGCAAAAAGTTAATTTTAATAGAATGGGGGAAATCTGCAAAGAGCCAAATCTAGCCATAATCCTATACTGAGAAGAAACCGTCAACTAAAGATCAGAAAACACCAAGACTCGTTCCACGAGAATGACTACAGTATCCTAGACCTCATTGACAAGATGTGGAAATCTCTCTATGCCTGGCAAAATAACATTGAGACAAAGAGGAGAACTCATGAAACAGCAAAGGTGGAGTTACAAAGAAGAATAAGGAAAATCAAGAACCAATGGTGGACTGAGAAAGCTAAGGACTCCTTCCTAACAAGTGTGACACACAGGGTTTCTTAAGTCCCACCAAAGCAATATATGGACCCAACACCCTTAGCCTCAAATTGGTGTGGAGTAAGAATGGCACCCTTTTGAGAGACAAACATCAGCCACTGATGGAGAGAACAATTCAAAGAACTCCAAAACTGCAATACAATCATCAACAAGGATGATTAGAGTTAGAGTTAGAGCGAGAGGACATATTACAGTTGATCTTCCTCTGCACTTTCACTGTAGCTGCAACATTATCTTCTATTACCTTAGGTAAGGTATAATTTGTCTGGTTAGCACACAAAAGAATATTTTTCACTGTATCTCGGTACCTGTGACTGTAATAAATCAAATCAAATTTTGAGGAAATCCCCAACTGCCTATCAAAGATGACCTCAGACTCCCACTTAGTGCAGCAAAAGTTAGAGCTGCCATTAGACACATGCAGAATGGAAAAGCTGGAGGAGTAGATTCTGGCAGAGATTTTCCATCATTGAGGAGCAGAGCTTGCCTGTCATCTTCATCAACTGTTCCTGAAAGCCTAGGACAAAGAGAAAGTCCCTGCCAATCTCAGGCATCTGCCATCGCCACTGTCTTCAAGAAAGGAGACAAAGTGGACTGTGGGAACCACCAAGAAATCTCCCTACTCCCCTTCACCAGAAAGATCATTGCCTCTATCCTCGGTAGGCACCTTCTCCCAGTCTTAGAGGAAATCCTTCCTGAAATCCAGTATGGCTTCCAACCAAACCGTGAAACTGTGGACATGATTTTCATTGCTCAGCAACTCCGAGAGAAATGCCAGGATCAACACCAACCAATCTACATTGACTGAGCCAGATTGATGAAGGCAATCAAGAAACACAATGGAAGATCTGTCAAAGGCCAGTAGTCCAGAGA